TTAGAATTTCTAATAGATTATTCATAATTTTGAGATAATGAATACATTCGTCCTCTGTGTGTTGAACGAGATTGGATCATTGTAATTAAACACCTTCCAAGAATATCATTGAATAGCACCTTTTCCAAAAAAGAATTAGGATGGGAGCAAATAACCTCAAGATTTGGATCTATAAACTTGTCAATTTCCTTTCTAATAGATTGATGAAGCATGGCCTCTCCTTGTGGAGTACTTAATAACTTGAAAAAGTAATTTTTACCAACTCCAAATAAACAAGATGAACCAGAATCTTCATTCGTTGATATAATACTCAATGTTCTGTTGCAGATCATTTTCATTAAGACACATCCCATTGAGTAAGTGTCACAATTTTTTGAGATTTTGAAATTTTCCGTTTGTTTGCCTTCTTCCTCATCATAAACCTCTGGAGCAAGATATTCCCATGTCCCTATATTCACTGTTATTGAGTGGTTGGATTGAATAACTTTGGAATTGTCAAAATCAATGAGTTTGGCATGTCCTTCATTGTTGATTATTACATTTGCCAACTTTAAATCTTTACAAAATTTCAGTATTGATTTTGAAAACAATAAACATACCTCTGTGTGTGAAATTTAGATTATGCAAACTGATGACACCCTCAAGAACTTCAGTAAAGTACTGTAAAACTTCAATCAAATCTTGAGTGGATAAGCAATGCTCCAAATTTGAATAATTTTGGTGCATTTCTGACATTACATGATCCAAAGGAGATCCCATTTCCATAATTAAATAGCTATACTTGCTATTATGCAACTCATAAAAATTACATTCAAATGTTCTGACAATACCCTTCAAATTTGGTGTTTTCATAAAGTTAAATAATTTCTCAGTTCTTTCTGGTTGCTCTTCTGGAGTAATATTCACTTTTAAAACTACTATTTGTTCAAGTTGTGTGTGAAAGCATTTGAAGACAATTCCCTGAGCTCCTTTTCCTATTTTGGATAAAGGAATCAAGTAAGGGAATTTTTGAAGTAGCATTTGGATATATCTCATGTCAAGGTCAGTACCATGTATATTGTCAATTATACTGACAAGTGAGTTAAAGGATGGGAAATCATTGGAAGAAACCCATTCTTTTATGAATCTAATAACTGTAGATCGTTTAAACACTTCCAATCTTAATTTTGATGACAGTTTCAAAACACTTTCCTTAAACGTGGAATATAAAACACTTCCACCATCTTTAACAAATTGATTCAAGTAATTGGAAAGGAAACATAACTCATTCTCCCCTATTGGAATCTCTTGATCAAATCTCACATAATCAATTACCCAATTATTCTTAATCAAAGAACTAATTCTCTGAAGAAATGCATAGACAACTACCAATGATTCATCATAGCGTTTGTTAATTAAGAATCTTCCTCCTTCAAATGTTATCTGCAATCGATTAATGTATCTATTGAAAACTTTATCCAAATCAGAGGCATATTTCAATGTTGTTTCGTCAATAATCTTATCGATATCGTATATCCACCTTTTACAGGTAAGAAAAATAGAAATTCTTCAAAACTTACATATATG